CTTTGGAATACGTTTTTGGAATATTTGTTCTTGTCCTGTGAAATATGCCATTGGTATCTTGAGAGGAATTGCATTGAATCTATAGATTGCTTTGGGTAGCATGGACATTTTTATGATGTTAATTCTTCCTATCCATGAACACTGTATATGCTTCCACTTACTTGTATCTTCTTCAATTTCTTCAGTGTCTTATAATTTTCTGAGTAAAGGTCTTTTACATCTTTGGTTAAATTTATTCCTAGGTATAAGAGTGGACATCCTTGTCTTGTTCCCAATTTTAAGGAAAATGTTTGTAGTTTTGACCATTGAGTATGATGTTGGCTGTGGGTTTGTCATGTATGGCCTTTATTACATTGAGATATGTTCCCTTTACACCCATTTTACTGAGAGTTATCATAAATGGGTGTTGGATTTTATAAAATGCTTTTTTTGCATCTATTAATATGATCATGTGGTTTTTATTCTCATTTTGTTTATGTGGTATATCACGTTTATTGATCTGCGGATACTGTACCAACCTCACATCCCTGGAATAAGTTCCACTTGATCATGGTGTATGGACTTTTTAATGTATTGCTAATATTTTGTTGAAAATTTTTGCATCTATACTCATCAGGGAAATTGACCTATTACTTTCTTTCTTTGTAGTATCATTATCTGGTTTTGAAATTAGGATAAAGCTGGCCTTGTAAAATGAAGTTGAGAATCTTCCCTCCTCTTAAACTTTTTGGAATAGTTTAATAAGGATATGTGTTAGTTCTTCTTTGAATATTTGGTAAAATTCACCTGTGAAGCCATCAGGTCCAGGGCTTGGTTTGTTGGGAGTTTTTTTTATTACTGCTTCAATTTCACTAGTTGTAATCTGTCTTTTCAGATCCTCTGATTCTTCGTGATTCAGTTTTGGAAGCTTGTAGGTTTCTAGGAAGTTATCTGTTTTGTCCAGATTGTTCAATTTGTTGGCATCTAGTTGTTCATAATATTTTCTTACAGTTGTTGTTTGTCATCTTTCAGTTCTTATTTTATTTATTTGGCTCCTCTCCCTTTTTTTCTTGATGATTCTGGTTAAGGGTTTGTCAATCTTGTTTATCTTTTCAAAGAACCAGCTCTTGGTTTCATTGATCTTTGTTTGTTTGTTTTTTTAGACTCTATTTCATTTTTTCTGCTCTGATCTTTATTATTTCCTTCCTTCTACTCACCCTGGGCTTTGTTTATTGTTCTTTTTCTAGCTTTTTAAAATGTAAAGTTAGATTCTTTATTCAAGATTTTGCTTGTTTCTTCAGAGAGGCCTGTAATGCTCTGAATTTCTGTCTTAGGACAGCTTTTGCTGTGTCCTTTAGATTTGGGGTTGTTGTGTCCTCACTTTCATTTGTTTCAAGGTATCTTTTTTTACATTGATTTTAGAGAGGGAGGAAGGGAGAGGGAGAGAGAAAGAGAGAGAAACATTGATGTGAGGGAGAAACATTGATCAGTTGCCTCCTGTGCATGCCCCTACTGGGGATAGAACCCACAATCTGGGTATGTGCCCTGACTGGGAATTGAACCAGTGACCCTTCAGTACATGACATGACTCAGCCGCACCAGCCAGGGCTCAAAGTATATTTTGATTTCTTCATTGATCTCATTGTTAACCCATCCATTGTTTAGTAACATGTTATTTAGCCTCCTTGTCTTTATGTGTTTTTCAGTTTTTTCTTGTGGTTGATTTCTAGTTTCACACTATTATGGTCAGAGAAGATGCTTGATATGATTTCAATCTTTTTAAATTTATTGAGACTTGTTGTGTGTCCTAACATATAGTCTATCCTAAGAAATGTTCCACGTGCACTTGAAAAGAATGTATATTCTGCTGCTTTGGGTTGAAATGCTCTGAAGATATCAATTAAATCCATCTGATGTAGTGTGTCATTTAAAGGTGCTGTTTCCTTGTTGATTTTCTGTCTGGAAGATCTATCCATTGGTGTCAATGGAGTGTTAAAATCCTCTACTATGATGACTGTTGTATTACTTTTGATGTCTCCCTTTATGTCCATTAAGATTTGCTTTATATATGTAGGTGCTCCTATGTTGGCTGCAAAATGTTTACAAAGATTATATCCTTTTGTTGGATTGCTCCCTTTATCATTATGTAATGTCCTTCTTTGTCTCTTATTATAGTAGCCTTTGTTTTAAAGTCTATTTTGTCAGATATAAGTATTGGTACCCCAGCTTTTTTTCTCATTTCCATTTGCATGAAATATCTTTTTCCATCTCTTTAACTTTCATTCTGAGGTGGGTCTCTTGTAGACAACATATATATGGGTCTTGTTTTTTTATTCACTTAGCTACTATATGTATTTTGATTAGAGCACTTAAGCCATTTACATTTAAAGTGATTATTGATAGATAAGTATTTATTGCTATTTTATTCTTTAAATTATGTTCCTCTGTTTTTATGTTTGTTCTTCTTCTTAAAGTAGTCCCTTTATAATTTCTTGTAATACTGGTTTGGTGGTAACAAACTCCTTTAGCTCAAGCTCTTTAATCTTCATGTTTAAATGATAGACTTGCTAGGTAAAGTAGTCTTGGCTGTAGGTCCTTGCTTTTCATGTCTTTGAATATTTCATGCCAATCCCTTCTAGCCTGAAATGTTTCTGTTGAGAAATCAGCTGACAGTCTTATGGAAGCTCCCTCGTAGGTAACTAACTGCTTTTCTCTTGGAGCTTTTAAGATTCTCATTTTGTCTTTAACTTTGCCATTTTAATTATGATGTGTCTTGGTGTTGGCCTCTTTGGTACATCTTGTTTGGAACTCTGCACTTCCTGAACTTGTATGTCTGAAAACTTCATATTAGGGAAGTTTTTGGTCATTATTTCTTCAAATAGGTTCTTGATCCTTTGTGCTCTCTCTTCTCCTTCTGGTACCCCTATGATGCAGATGCTGTTATGCTTGATGTTGTTCCAAAGGTCCCTTAAACTATCCTCACTTTAAAAAATTCTTTTCTCTTTATGCTGCTCTGATTGGTGTTTTTTTCTACCTTGTATTCCACACCACTGGATGTGGATATTCTATGCTCTACTTTGCCCAACCTACTGTTTATTCCTTCCAGTGTATTCTTCATTTCAAATACTGTAATCTTCATTTCTGACTGCTCCTTTTTTATGGTTTCTATGTCCTTATTCATGCTGTTGAGCATCCTTATAACCACTACTTGGAACTCTATCTGGTAAATCGCTCACCTCCGTTTTATTCAGCTCTTTTCCTGGGGATTTCTCCTGTTCTTTTATTTAGGGTTTCTTTGTCTCCCCATTTTGGCTGACTCTTTGTGTTTGTTTCTCTATATTAGATAGATCTGCTATGACTCCCAATCTTTGTAAGGTGGTCTTATGTAGTAGGTGTCCCTGGGGTTCAGTAGTGGAATCTCCTTGATCACCTGAGCTGTGTGCTCCAGGAATGTCCCTTGTGTCGGCTATGTGAGTCAACATGTTGTAATTGAGTCTCAGTTGCTATTGGCCCTTTCATGTATGGGATTGCCCTCAGGCTGGCTGACTGTGAGACTCAACCCCAACCACAGCATGTGAGCTGCTGTGTAGGTGCTGACCACATGAAGCAGAATTCGCCTCAACAGCATCTGGTGGCTGCCAACATCCCCTTTGGATATGCTGATTTTGAAGCTTATTGGATACTGCTCTGATGTTGTCTGAAGCTGGCCACTGGGTGTGTTGGTTCTGGGCCTCTTGTGAGAGACTCTGGTGCAGGCCAATATAAGATGCTGCTTGTGACTGGCCCTTGGCAACCTGTGTGGAGCTACAAGGAAGCCACAGTTTGTGGCTACTTCTACTGGGCTAGGTGTGCATGGGAAAGACCAAGCTGTACTCGACCCTGGGGCAGATCAGTAAATGCCCCAAGGCACCCCAAGACCTGCCTCTGCTTACCTCCACCTGCTGGCTGCTTGTTAGGTTCAGTCACTGAAAGAGCCTCTGGCTGTACACCTTAGCAGGGCATAAGCTCCACAACATGGGGTGAGAGGGAGTCCAGAAGGTGGGGCTATTGCTTTCTCCCAGGCTGATGCCACATGGAGGAGAGTGCTCCATCCAAGAAAGATAGTGTCTGTGGTGTGGGAGAATGACCCAGCTCAAAGATCCTAGAAACTATCCCTTCAGCTCCTTCCCCAGAGCCACAAACCCCAGTCTCTCCTCATGTGACTCTAGTCTGCTTCGCCCACCATCTGCCAGAGCCCAGGATGAGTGGTGGTCTCAATGTGACTTCTTCTGTAAGTCCTTGGTTATGAGTCTTCTCTTCAGCTAATCTTCAGTTGGTTATTCAGGATGATTGTTCTATAATTTAGTTGTAATCCCAGTTTGGTCCTGGGAGGAGGTGAGTGTAGCTTCCACCTACTCCACCACCACATTGGATCCCCTAGTTCAGGATTTTTAAATTGCTCCTTCACCTTTTCTTTTTCCAGACTTCATCTGAGACTCCTTCTTTAGCCAACATTCTTCAGCCCTGAACACATTTGCTATCCTTGTCCTTCTCTTCTTCTCTTTCTTTAGCATGTTTAAACTTAAACCATCCTTTGTGACTCCTTTTCCTGGAAAAATAACTGTAAGGAAAGAATGATGTACTGTGGAGAGATGACTCACCTCTCCAGACTTAGTAGTACTTCTATGAGTTAAGTCATTTCCATGATGAGCCAAGTTGATGTCTCCTGTCTATAATCCCTTACAAGCTGAACTTTGCCCCTTGGCCAGCATTGCATGCAGCTCATGGCCCTCCCCACCCCACCCCCTTTGCTAGAATCCCTTCCCCAGCAATTTCATCACTCCCTAGAACAGCCAAACATTTTTGGTATAGTTCTCTCAGTTAGTGTTTAACCAAACACCTGTCTCTAAGGGGTGGGGCGAACTGATAGAAAAAAAATGTTGAAAGCCTGAGACTCAGGAGGGCAATTTCTGCAGGGACTCCCTTGCTTCTGGAGGAGAGGGAGGTAGTGCAGTGGACTGGTGGCACAGGAGTGAGACACAATGGAGTCTGGCTTCACCTCCAAGGATACTTACCTGAACCATTTTAACCCTCGAGATTACCTAGAAAAATTGTACAGCTTTGGGTCCACACACTCTGCAGAAAACGAGATTCTTAAGCTTCTTCTGAAAAATCTTTTCAATATATTCTGTATGGGTAAGTTTGTCTGTTGTCTGTGTCTCCTATCCACGCCCCTCCACAGCCCCCAAACATAAGTCATATAGACGGAGTCTTCGGGCATGACTGGGTTTTCTGTCTAGTCATTGTTATTTGACAGCCCTTTTGGTATCACTTTCTTATGTAGCTAAGATAAAAACTAGTGTCTGTATGGATACTTTACAGTTTACAAAGTGCTTTTATATCCATTATCTTGTTTGGTCATATAAAAGGGAAACCAGAGATTGGAGTTCTGTCCTTGATTCTACATGGATTTGCTATGTGACCAGAGCCAGCCGCTTGGCCCTAGTGATGGGCCACTTAAGAAATAGAGATTCTAATACTTATTCTATTCCTAACTCAAAGGATTGAATATTCACTTGTTGTGAATATGCGTGAGATAAAGATCTCCCAACATATGAAGAACTGGATACTTTCTGGATAAAGACATTATGTAAACTAAATTTTTAAAAAATTTAACTTTCCTCAAAAGTATTTCTTAATAGGAATACCTATGTTTCCTCCCTGGATTGGGAAACAGAAAATGAAAATCTGTTTTCAAAAAAGACTTAGAAGAGTAGTGAGTCTCGATGGTCTAACTGGTGAGAGAGGTGGTCTGTCTCTGGGGCTCTCCCTGGGGCTCTCCCTCATAATGCTGGCAAAGACAATGCAATTCAGCTCTGTCTGCCACCACATAAAGTCTGATTCTCCATCCTTGTTCCTTCCTCTAAATCAGCTGGCGTGAAGGGAGACCTCTTGATTGACATTGGCTCTGGCCCCACCATCTATCAGTTCCTCTCTGCTTGTGAATCTTTCAAGACAATCATTGCTACTGACTACGCTGACCAGAACCTGCAGGAGCTGGAGAAGTGGCTGAAGAAGGAGCCAGGGGCCTTTGACTGGTCTCCAGTAGTGGCCTACGTGTGTGAGCTCGAAGGGAACAGGTAGAAAAACTGCTTCTGGGCTTTCTGAGGGGACTTGAGTGACAGTTTGTTTTTCAGAACCAAGAATTAGCCTTAGAGTTCAAGTTGAAAAGCAAAGGAGACAGACAGAGAGACCAAAGGGAAATCCTAATGGATGAGAGCAAGAGCAAGGTAGACGAGTGTGCGTGCGTGTGCGTGTGCATGTGTGCACGTGTGCGTGCATGTGTGTGTGCGTGCGTGCATTTGTGTGCGCCAGAATACAGGGAGAGAGCTGAAAAGATGGATACTGAGCCAAGAGGAGTAGGCTTTTCCAGGCCTGTGTGTGGGCTCAGTGTCCTGACCAGGTACCTTAGGACCTTGTTTTAAGACTTCAAAAGGCGAAACCAGCGCCTCACCAGAAGCTGTGGGTGTGGGAGCTTACCCCCTGAGTGCCCCCCTGGTGCTAGCCACCCAAGCACAGAGGACTCTGCCGTGAGGGTGGCTAATGCTGACACCACCAGATACACCAAAAAGCCGACTATGTTTTTAAACTGATATTAACAGCGTACAGGGACTATTTGAAAGGAACTTCACCATCCATAAAATTAGAGTTTTATATGCTCACAGCTAATAACCGAAATCTGACACTAACCGATCTACAAGTAAACATGCCACAAGTCTGGTTTAAATTACTATTTCCCCACATAAGAAACTGGCCCTAGTCTACGAGGCAGAGGTGACGGTGCCGTGTTCCACTGGCTTGTCCTCTCGTCCTGAGCCCAGCCAACCGCCGGCTCTCGGAGCGTCATGTCTTTGCTGGCAGGCATGCTGCTGAGGCCCCGCCAACTCCTTTGTAAACTGCATAAAAATACGACTTTCGTGTTTTTTCTAGGATCCTGCTGGCCTTATCCTTTTTGTTTGCTCTTGTTGGGTTTTTGGGGAGGGCTTTTATTACATTTTTTTCTGTCTCCCCCCACTGCCCTTACCAAGGATTTAATTTTTACATAAAATCTCTCTCTTCCTTCCCCAATCCATTTTTTCATATCCCCCCCCCACTTTGTTCTTATAATGCACACTTTGTCTGCTGCACAACATCCCCTGTCTTTTCTTTCACAATGTGAAAACACATCTCTTTCATTAACATATCTCATGATTTGGTCAAGAAAGGGCTCTAATTTCTTGGCAAGACAATGCCCCTCAAGAAATAAGTGCTAACACTTTTGCACATGGTTAAAGGAGCTAGTCTCCNNNNTTTTCTCCCTCCCTCCTTCCCTCCCTCCCTTCCTTCCTTCCTTTCTCCCTTCCACAAGCCTATATTGATCACCTATGATGTGCTGCTGGGGTAGAAGCGTAAGCAAGACAGAGAAGGTCCCTGTCTCCTGGAGCTCACGTCAGGGTAGGCAGACAAGTGCCAGATCATTTGGGTCCTCAGGACCAAGTTAAAGATTGTGGACTTCAAATGTAACAGAAACGCACTAGAGGTATAACCAAGAGAGTGTTGTGGCCCACTTTGCGTTTATAAAGAGCTCTCTGGCTATTGTGTGGAGAATGGGTTGGAGGAGATTAGAGGAGAGGGAGATGCAGAAAGGAGATCATTTAAATCCAGGTAAGAGACGGTGGTTGTTTGGGTTAGGCAATGGTGAGAGGTAGATGATTTGTTTTTTTATAAATTTATCTTTATTGGTTTGAGAGAGAGGAAGGGAGAGGGAGAGAGAGGTAGAAACATCAATGATGAGAGAGTCACTGATCGGCTGCCTCCTGCATGCCCTCGACTGGGGATCGAGCCCACAACCTGGGCATGTGCCCTGACTGGGAATCAAACCCTGATCTCCTGGATCCTAGGTCGATGCTCAGCAGCTGAGCCACACCTGGCCAGGCAGAGGTAGATGATTTTAAGATGGAAAAATGGAACACCTTTTACATAAATGTCTAATGTATATTATAAAATTCTTTTAAAAAGAAAGAAAACCCTATGGAATCTACAAAAAACTCTCATAAAATTAATTAATGAAGTCAGCAAGATCACAGGGCATAAGGCCAATATATAAAAATCAATTCTATTTCTATATAGTAGCAAATAAAGTAAAAGTAATAAAATGAAATAAAAATAAAATTTAAAACTTCATTTTTAAATAGGATGGATAAGAGTTGATATCACATATCAACGGTGACTTCCGTATTCCTGAACTCGAACAACAGGACTGAGGCAATAGCCCTGAATTCAGGGAAATTATAAGATCATGTGGCCTTAACATGTCCTTGAGGAATAGGCCTCCTCCATGCTCATCTTCTGGAGCGATGGTCATTTTCTTACACTTGTACTTCCATTTGGTTCCCATCTAGTCACCAACTGTATTTATTCCTGAGTCAGTTTCCCTTCTGAAACTAAGGTCTGTCTCTATTTCTTTAACCTTCCCATAGTCTTTGAAAGGTTTGCTACCTTAAGAGTGTTCTAAGCTTTACTTCATTTCTTTACATATTGTTGCTGCGCCCTCTTGTTGTTAGTAAACGTGGATTGTCAACTGGAAGTAATCAAGGTGACACTATGGTACAATTCTCTATAATATAGCAGGATGAATAAGCTAGGAGTTTTATATTTTGTTCCTAATTAACCTTTTTTACTGTCGCACAGAGTGACTAAATTTTCACTGGGTTTCCACTAGCCTTTTATCTCTTTTACCAGGGATAGTAAGTCATGAAATCAGACAGTGTAAGTCCTCCAACTTTGTTCTTTTTCAAGATTATTGAAAAAGATCAGTGCCATTAATTTTAGAATAAACTTGTCAATTTTTTTTTTTTAAAAGCTGCTAAAACTTGGGTTGTGATTTTTTTGAATTTGCAGATCGATTCAGGAGAATGGGCATACTCACTCGTCAGCTGTGAGCACGATTTATATCCTCACTTAGGAATTCAGTTTTTCTCAGCAACGTCCTGTAGTTCTCATATTTTGCATTTATTTTGTTAAAAATTTTCCTTTGTGTCACATTTTCAATGTTATGGTTAAATGTATTTTTAAATTTTATTTTTATTTCATTTTATTATTTTTATTTTATTTGCTACTATATAGAAATAATTGATTTTGTATATTGGCCTCATGCTCTGTGATCTTGCTGACTTCATTAATTAATTTTATGAGAGTTTTTGTAGATTCCATAGGGTTTTCTTTCTTTTTAAAAGAATTTCATAATATACATTAGACATTTATGTAAAAGGTGTTCCGTTTTTCAAAGAAATTTCCTCTAGTTCCTGGCTTTGCTGTCTTTCTCAGAGCAATAAACAGTGATTACTACTCGCGAAGATAAGCCCCTCCGTTGTGTTGGGCAGTAATTATAACTTTATGTTTTAAGTCATTAGCATCTCCAAAAACTCCCTTTCATTTCCCCACATGGGCCGACTGCACTGCACACAGTAAAAATATGCGCTACTATAACCAAAGAGCCTGAACAGAAGCAGAGGCCCAAGGATGTTTGGGTGCTGGTTTGAGTAACAGTGTTGACTGGCACCAACCGTCTACTTATTCATATGAGTAAAACTGCAATAACAGCCCGGCCAGGCGTGGCTCAGCGGTTGAGCATTGACCTGGGATCCAGGCAATCGGGGTTCGATTCCCAGTCAGGGCACATGCCCGGGTTGCGGCCTCGATCCCCAGCAGGGGATGAGCAGGAGGCAGCAGATCAATGACTCTCATCATTGATGTTTCTATCTCTCTCTCCCTCTCCCTTCCTCTCTCTGAAATCAATAAAGACACATTTAGAACAAACAAAAAACCTGCAATAATAGACATGAAAGCCACTGTAGGAAAAAGGAGCTCAGGAAGGAGATCACTAAATATAACTAAATACACTTTGAATATAAATACCATGTATTTCCTGATTAGTATCAGGTAAATATCTAAACTCTCTATCTTGAATTCTGATCTAAGAAAAAGGTCAGAGACAATTACAAAGAAGGTGCTCCAGATTATCGGGGCCATTTTGAAAACAATGAGGTCCTCTGGGACAGCCACTTTCATCTTTCTTTTTATCAGAGATTTACGCTGGTCCTTCTGTTGGTAACCCATTTATGTCTGCACCCTTACGGTCTGCTTTGCCTTTCTATCATTGGATTCCTGTGCAGCTTTTCCAGGCCACATACCGCTAACAAAGGGGGACGTCACGGGGTATATGCAGGGCTCCAGGAGCTTTCGGCAGATCCAGAGCGGAACTGGAATGAGTGTACAAGGAATGCACACCACTGTCTCAGGCCAAAGCTCCGGAACATGAGAGCCCGGGGCAGGGGAGCTGTGTGCCGCCCGGGCTGCAGGCCTGGAGCCTGCAAAGCAGCCTGACAGTGCTCAGGCCACAGCCCACCGCCCACCGCCCCCCACCTGCACCTCGGCCATAAACTGGGGGGAGCCCACCCAACCCTGCTGACCATCAAGCCCAAGTAGGTCCACAGGGGGTTTCTACGTACATTCTTATATCATCTGCAAATAAAAAGCTTTACCTCTTCTATTCCAACTTTATGCTTTTTGTTTCTTTTTCTGGCCTATTACACTGGCTAAGACTTCCAAAACAATGTTGAGTAGAGGTTATGAGAGCAGGTATTTGTGCCTTTCCCCATATGTTAGAAAAACATCAATGGTTCATCATTAAGACTGATGTTAGCTCTGGGTTTTCATAGATATTATTTATCAGACTAAGTTCCCTTATAATTCCTAGTTTCTTGAGATTTTTTAACCAAATATTGAATTTTGTCAAATGTAGGGTTTCTTTGGTCCTGCCAGTGTGGCTCAGTGGTTGAGCGCTGACCTATGAACCAGGAGGTCATGGTTCGATTCACGGTTCAACTCCCGGTCAGGGCACATGCCCCAGGGGGCGTGCAGGAGGCAGCCAATCAATGACTCCCATCACTGATGCTTCTATCTCTCTTTCCCTCTCCCCTCCTCTCTCTGAAATCAATAAAAAAAATATTTGTTGAGAAATAGTCATATGATTTTCCTTCTTTATTCTAAAAATGTGAACTGTGTGGGGTGGTTTTGAATGTTTAAACCAAATTGACCT